CCGTTGTTGGCCATCTGTTCCCCGCTGACCTCTTTAGGGAGGGCTGAAACAGAAAGAAAAGTACTGTCACTTCAGCCCTCACGGGGTCATCTGTCACTGCTCCCCCTTCCCCACCAAGAATCAAAACTAATATTTCCTCCTGCGTATTAATGGAGCACTTCAAGGTTGGTTTGTTGTTGCTTTCTGCAGGCACAGTGCTCGTATTTTTCTGGCTTTTCTCAGTTTGTGCCCCTGTGTTTGTGCTGGGTTTTTTTTCATATTTCCTTCTTATTTATTTGACCTAGTTTTGCATGCTGCTTTCTTTTTTGAGGTGATTGGAGAGCTTGTAATTAGGGACCAGCTTGACTCTTTCTGATTAATGACTGAGCCTGGATATCAAGGGAACAAAGCTGGCACTTTAACAGTCACACCAGCTCCTTGCCTTCACCCATATTTACTCTGCAAAGGTCACAGAGCTGGACCATGTAAAGATGAAGCAGGAAACAAAATTAGCAATAGGCAAATACAGAATTTTAGTTTATCTGTTCCAGCACTTGTGAAAACAAGGATTGCAGGTGCTCTGGTGACCTCTTGCTTTGTGTAGGATTCCTGCTGTACGTGTGGCTGTCTGCATTGTTGTTTAGATTCCTGGTGACTTCCAACAAACAGCACCTGCCTCTTCAAATGGGACAGTATTTCAGGTGTCCTGAAGGAATCAAAGCCTGCCTTTCCAGAGCTTGTTGTTCTTATTTTGATGTTAATTTTTCATCCCATTTCATCACAACCCTTCAAGCTCTTTTCTCCCTCCAAGATTTCAGCCACTTCTTTCTTACAGTCAGATCTTGAAGAATTTCCTAAGTAGTCATTTTCTTCCTTTCTGTTTGAAACTGTATGATACCAGATTTGGAGAACTTGTCTTTGAGAGCTCGTGTCTGTGCTGTCCAAACCCTCTGTTATCACCTGTAACAATGCATGAATCTGTTAATTCCTTCCATAAAGTCTCCACAGCCTGTATTTGGATGAATATTTGCCAGTTCCTCACAATTCTAGTTATAAGATTTTCTTTTTTCCCCTCCCATCATCGCTGTTAGGAAAAATGCCTGTGCAGGAAAGCACGATGGCCTCTTGTATGGTGAGGGAAGTGGAAACCAGGGCAGTGCTTGAGCAGCTGTGTGCACATTGTAGGATTTCTGTCAGTAAGAGCAACTTCCACCACTGTCAGGGGAGTTTATTCCAGCATAAAGTAGGATTTAAGGTACAAGAGGTATCTTGGAATTAAAGTGTGGTGGCTAAACCAGACAAAGGCATCTGTAGGCAAAGATTAGGAATGCTGTGCTGAAAAGGCAGTTTTTCCTGTGTTATTAAATAAACCTTCAGTATCTTGCTTATACAACAAAATTAATAGGTTGTCGAGGTTAGGAGCAGTGTGACATAGAGTGAGAAGAGAGACAGGTCTGTGTTTAGCCCTCAATTACTGCAGGAACTTCTGAGCTCTAAAACAATGTATGGGCAATAATACAAATAGTCTCTACCTGGAGGTTGTTGAAGAACACTGTTCCCAAAAGGAATATTGCAGAATGCATCCAGAACGTCCCCTCAGTGCTGATCCACAATACCAGCTGTGCCTTAAGCTGTGGGAGCAATCCAGCTAGAAAACTCAAGTTCTTACTTAGCTTAATAAATAAATCAGCCTAGATTTGTTAATTTTTTGAAGGGATTAATAAACCTTTCAGCAGAGCCACAGTGCTGGAGTTGTTGTGGCCGTGACCTGAGCTCCTCTTGCTTTCCTGTTCTGAGGGCTCTCAAGCACATGCACTTTAAAGATAACCTTGGGTTAGGCTTGGATTTCATAAGCGATTTGTAATCTGTGAAAACACCACTTCATTCTGTAGTAAAACTCCTTGCTCATAAAAATCCCTCCCCATTCAGATCCATATGTAAGAACAAGGCAAACTCCTACAGGGATATTCTGAGACACTCCTGCTTTAGAACATGAGCTTTGTATTCATAAATGTTTTAGCCTATTTCCTGCAATAAAGATTAAATTGTCGCTCAGGAAGTAAAGCTGCAACATGTGCCTTTGACAACGTAATCAAACTTTATATAGCCATGTTTTTATTGTTTTCCTTTTGTTTTGCTCTTAGATGACTAATTTCTGCCTAAAAGTGACAGCAAGAGTTGCCATCTGAGAGGCCGCTTGGAGCTTTATTTCTATTTTAAGCATATTTAAAGCACATGTATTCAGAAGTGTCATTATGTAAATCAGTTTTGAAAATTGAGCTCCATTAAAAATTGCAGTATCATTTTCTGAGCTAATCCGAGGCTATTTTAATCTCAGAAATGAAAAAATAACCCCACAACCAAACCTCAGGTTTTTGTGAGGAGCGGCACTTCTACCTCTGATGTTGTAATTGCTGTGCTAATATGGTGATAAAGTATGATGTGTTCTTAGTGGAGCAAAATGTTTGCTCTTCCTGGATTTGGAAAATCCACTGGCCTGAAATTTGGAATATTTGGAAATTGCACTGCATTGCCTGGAAACAAAAATTGGTAGTGGAGTCCAGTGTAAGGAACGATTTCGGCAGTGGTGAAAGTTGATCCCCAGGGTTGGATGCTTTAGCAGCTTGGCTGGACTAAGAAAGGTTGGCCCAGATGATCCTTAAAATCCCTTTCAACCTGGTATTTTAGGAAAAGAACTTGATATTGAAAAAGATGCCTAACAAGGAAGTTGGGTAATAAGTACTTTTATAGCTTAAAGAAAACTCTGCATGTTAGGCAAAGTGGTGGTGGTGGTGGTGGTTCCTTTTTGTGTGTGGTTTTTTGTTTTTGTTTTTAAATACTGCCCTGAGTATTGAGGGGGATTTAAATGTAACTGTGGTGTTCTGGAATTGCTGTAATGGCATGGGGTTTCTTAAGTACCAGCAAGAGGAAACCAAAAAGTTTCTCATTTTACATGGGCTTGTTTCATTCACCTGCTTTCAAAAACCAGGAAAAGCTGAACTTCCACTGGCAATAGTCTGAGAGCTTGGGGGAGTTCACTGGAACAGGGCCTTTGTAGAGTCTGCTGTGACTTGGGTAGGGAGCTGCAAATGAAGGGACTGGATGTTGTTTCTTTGTAGTTTCTGAGGTCCTGGGGACTTCTGTTCTCCACTGAGCTAACGGGGATAAAGGCAAATCTATCACAGTTTCAACTCAGTTTCTTTTGGCAACCTAAGTCATCACTTTTTGCAAAGTCCTAGAAGAAGCCATTTAAAAGTACAGTTTCATGCACCTCTGTCTTAAGTGCGAGTTAACATTTTTTTTAGGGTCATGCAAATCCCCACCTGCAGTTCCTAAGGGCAGATGTTTCCCAAATCTCAGTTTACAGCGCGGGTTTAAAAGGTGGCCCTATGGAGCTGGCATAAGCTGAGCAGGTGGTGAATTTTTGGCCATGACAGAAGGTGAATCAGTAGTTAAAAAACAGATATTTAATGCCGTTTCAGCTGTCTGGACCTCCAGTGGTGCTCCAAGAGCTCCCAGATGTGCCCAACCTCTGGCTGCTATTCCAGACCCTGGCTCTTGCCATATCTCTCACTTCTCTAAATAGTCTGAGTGCTGTAAAGTGCCTTAAAAAGGCACTAACACCTCAGTTTAGAGCTGTGAATTGCTTTCTGCAGTGTTTATAGTTTGGGGTGACACAAGGAACGGGAATCTGCTTTTAATTTAGTCTGGAGCTCCATACAGGATCTGTGTAAGCATTAAAGCATCTGCAGTGGCCAGGATCCGTATTTTCAGACGAGGGAAAAAGCCAAATCCCAGAATGCCCTTCAGCACCAAAATATCAGAAGGCTACACTGTTCCTTTTTTTATAACAAAGGGAAACTATGTAGGAAAATGCAAACTTGTTAAGAGGCAAAATGTTTCATGGGGAATGTCTGAAGACACAATGTGCAAAATCTGAAGAGTGGTTGTTTTCTCCTTTAGGTAAAGAGCAGTCTGATGGATTGTGACCAGAAATAAAGAGTTTTGTAACTAAAAAAATATTTTTTAAAACAACAACAAAGATCAAAACAAAGAAAAGGGAGGGGGGGCTACAGGTTTTGGCAAGTTAAATGTAAAGCAATAGTAAATTAGGCTAAAAGTGGTCTTGAGGAGTAATTGGAAGGCTTTGAATCTAATAATAGTGATGGTAATGGCTTCAGCCCATCAGAAACAGCCTGCTCAGAAGATCTGTAAGGCTGATAAATGATCAGGACCTGAAGAGCTGTCAAGGAAGATAAAGCAGTTATAGAGAAGTAAATGAATTATTTGCATTGGTGTTTATTGAAAAGGATGTTGGGAGGGTCATTGCTATAACCATTTATTTCAGTGATGGACAGAGGAAGCAGGCAAAAGAAGGTTTCATGTAGGTTTTCTTCTTGATTTGGAAGGATCCAGGTTAATTTTTAATCAGGATGATACTGGAACAGTCTGGTTTTGCATTAATGCAAATTCTTCAGCTAGAATTTATAGGATGAGCACAAAATATGATTATTGGAATTCATCTGGGCCTTAGTTTACAACTCTTGAGAACAAAATTGATGCGTATGGAAAATTAATGCAGCATGTGTTTGATCAAAAAGAGAAAAATAGTTGCAAAGTAATGTACTTGCTCATGATCTTCAAGGTATATTGTGAATCACAGCTGCTGAAAGCCAGCAGAACTTGCATTAATTACTTGGGTTTGTTCCTTTTTTTTCCAGTTTCAAACTTTCTTTCCCTAGAATATGCTAATATTAACCATTGCTTATGAGTGATTGTGGAAAGAGGTTCCAAATAAAATCTATCCTTTCTGAATTCTCACTGCCTGCTATTTTATTTGTTGTGGGTTTCAGTTTTGGAGCAGCTCTTTTTTAGTACTTTTATTGCAGCATTAGAAGCAGCCTTTTTTAGACACGAGATGTAGAAAGTTAGCAATGCAAATATGGATTATTCACCTTCCTAGAGAAACTTCATCTTACTGAAAAGCTCTTCCTAACTTTTGTTTTTATCAGGGAGAAAGAACAAGAAACACAAGAAGAGGAACATTTGATGGAAGAAAAGAAAAAGAAAAAGCAGGAAGAAAAGAAAAAGAAGGAAGGTGCTCAGAAAAAGGTTTGTTCATGTTCCTGTTGTGATTGATCCCTTCACTTTTAAATGTGCCTGTGGGTACTGGTGCTGCAGCTTCACCTCTGGGAGTGAGCCTGGCACTGGCTCTCTCTGATTTTCTGCATTGCACATTTGGATTTAGTTTGAAATAAGAATTGATCGCTGTCTTTTTTGGTATAAAAATCAGGCATCATAAAAAATTCCAAACAGATTATAAAATAAACAGGTATTCTGTGAAAGCTGATAGTGTGGGTGGATTCAAAGGGATGCTGGACAGAGTCACAGAAGTTAATTCTGCTGGGTGCTCAAGGGTTCACACACAGAGTGGGGGTCCAGAAAGCCTCTGCCCCTCAGGAGAGGGAGGGCTGGGTGGGTGGAGGGGGCTGCTGCCCTCTCTTGTCATTCTTTACACTTCTCTTTGGCTTCAGGCAGACATTTCTATCACATGGAGTTAAACTAAGATTCTCCAGTCCTTAAATGAAACAAGTGCCTGATTTATGTAAGCAGTTTCTGCAAAAAGTTAGGCCTGCAGCCCTGTGATTATTAGGTATCATTTGCACTATTGACAAGTAGTTGATTTGTTTTGTTCTTCTCTTCTTTCAGGCTGCTGAACAAAAAACCAAAGGTAAATTCATGTTTATTCTCTGTGAAATTTTTGATATTTTTATAAGCTTGTTTAAAATACCTGCTTGTACTTTTTATTCATTGTGTCTGTTTAATGAGGGGAGTATATCTTACTAGGATTGTCATGTTCCTAAAGTTTTGTTGGGATTCTCAGCATAAGCTTTGGCTTATCTTGCTGGGTATTCTGTGGCAGCCTTTTGACAAGAATATATGGATTAATTTTCTGTGAACCATAACACAGCATGTGTCATCTCTTTTGTCAAGACAGATGCAGTTTTCCTTTTAGTTGTTAGTAGTTATTTATCTGTTTCAAAGACAAGTAATTGCCCCTTTCCCCTTGCACAATTCAACTCAATTTAATGTGTAAACTCAATTCATGGAGCTTAGAAGAAACTATTTCCCCTGCTGCCACGGTTTTTCTTTCTGTGTGGGTTTTCTGCCTGGGAAGAGAGTGGAGCTGCTTTGCAGCATGGTCAGGAAGCAGCAGAGGTAAGGAATGCCTTCCCCTCTGGGGGCAGTGGGCTGCCAGGTTCCCTGGGAGAAAAGTTAATGAAGCTGTGGCTTTCAGAAAGGTGGGGAAAAGAGGCAAGGGAATGTCTGTCTGCTGCAGCTGATGGCTTACAGATCTTTGTGTGCCTCAGTTGTGAGCCAGCTCAAATGCATTGTCATTTCTTGGTGGGGAATTAGGTGACAGACAGGCAAGTGGAGCTTCCCAGAGACCCACAGAATGAGAATTAGAAAAGAGCTAACATAAGGGCTGGACTAAAAAACTTATGTTTCAAACACTTCTTATGATTTATACATACAGCAGAAATTAAATATTACTTCAGTAATATGAATTCAGAAAAATAAAGTAATAACTGCATGATGAAGGTACTGTAACAGTAATTTATTGAAACTCTGTCCTTCTATTTCTAAGTTTTTCCTATGTAGAAAGGGAGAGGTCAGAAAGTTTTAGTTTGAATTCTGGAGCACCTGCACTGTGAGATCTCATGTCATTTATTATAACACTGAATTTTACTTTCAGGAGAAGGGAGCAGAGGTATGTGAGTCCCACCAAAACTTAGGTACATGAAAAACCTTGGAATTAAGATACATAAGAGCAATTTCTATCTAAATGGAATATTTCTGTTTTCACAGAATTCCTTGTTTTGTTCTCTGTATCAGCTCATTTCTGTGTGAAAAGGTTTCACTGTTCTATAATGGATTATAATGACTTTTTAATATCACAATTCAGCAGCAGATGTTTTTGCTGTCAGGGTAACTAAATTCATTTTCACGTGGTAATTTTCAGCCATTTTCAGTGGCTCTTCATTTCTGTACGAGTGAGACACAGAGCCTTCTGCTTTCCCTCTGTGGGATGTTACTATTTCTGTCTGTGTTGTGACAGCTTTGCTTTTAATTGCTTGAAGCTGCCACGTTTTAAGTTTCTAGTTAATAACTTCAGTTTTTCAGGTATGCTTGTGAGTTTGTTTCTTTCAAATTTAGGGACTGCATTTCTCCATCTGTTGGATTTTTTTTTCATTATCCATGTATTTAAGCATCTTCTGTTGCTATAAAATATGGATCAGGAAGAAGACAGCAGTGGATAAGGATAGTTTTGTTAGAGATTAAGCAGCTTTGGCATTTATTGTTTCATCTGTCAGAAGCAGTGATGCAGCTTTTGTGGTTCAGCATCGTTGGAAGGGGGGACCTGTCCTGCAGAGAGCCCAAACCTCCTGTTCATGCTCAGGGCAAGGGCCAGGGTTATTTACAGTCCTGTAAGTGACCCTTCTTTGAATTTCCCTTGTCTGGCAAATACTCATTGCTTTTCAGGTTGCTCTGTGGAAATGTTTTATTTCCACTTTTTGGTGCAGTTCCTTACATTTATCTTTAGGAGGGATGTTCATGAGTTTATGAGAGATAAGAGGAATTTCTTAATATAGATAAAATATTAATACAAAATTAATGAGAGGAAAAATCTGAACTTTTTCCCTACAATATTCAGAGTTGACTGTAAATTTTATTGCAGTGCTGCACCAAGTGCTTTATTTGGATACATTTTCAAGGATAAGTGACACATGCTACTAGAACTAAAAGGCAACACAGGGATTATCATTGAATTTAGTTAATTTATTTCCTATCTGGGACACAGCAATTAAATTAGTTGTGATGACAGGATGGCACAGTAAAACTGAGTGAATGGACTGCAGCAGGTAATGCATGCCAGTGGACAGGATATATTAAATCAGAGATTAAAGCGGGACTGGAGGTTTTGCAAAATGTAGTTTTTAGTAGGTGAGATCTTTATAAATATGACTTAATGGAGCTCTTTGTGGTATGTTAAAAAATTGCTTAATTTTATGTGTGTGTCACTGAGTTCTGCAACTGGGTTGCCATGGCAGTGAGAGGTGCTTGCACTAGTTGGGTCCTAGTGGAGAAAAAGAAATCAGCCAAGTGCGGGTGGGATCTGGGAGGGTTTTTCAGTCTGTTTTTCAGCTGCCTGGGGCAGGGTGTTTGTGCAGCCCCTTGTTTGCTCTCAGCAGTGCTTGTGGAAGTGAGGGCACTTTGCTCAGGTGGGTAGGAAGGGCCAGGTGCTGAGCCTTGACAGGGAGGGGTTGCCTTTTTCTGTGCTGGAAACCTGTGACCAAGGTGTGATTCTTTTTGATTACTAGTTAGTTTTTCGTGGATTTGTCTGTCACAGAGGTGTGGAGCTGCTGTCCTGGCCGGTAACGAGCTCGTTTTTGTACGTGCAGCTCGGAGCTGATCTGGGCTGCTGCAGGTTCGGCGTCTGGTGAGGCCTCAGGAAAGAGAAGGGAAGCAAGAGGAAGGAGGTTTCCTGTGGGGGTGTGTTTGTGGTTGTTGTCAGTTCAGTCTTGCTCTGAGGCCTCAGCCCCAGCTGAATGTTTCCATTTGTGATGTGGAGCACAAACCCTTCCAAAATAAACATGTATTTCCACCCGTGGGGGAAAGGTATGTGCCTGCTGCTGGAGCCCAGGGCTAGGAGTGCTCCCTCACACAGCTCTTGCATCCACTGAAACAAATTATTTTCTCTTTTTTAACAATGATCCAAACCTTTAAATCTTCTCTACCTAACAGCTCCTTCAGTTTCTATTTTTTCCCCCTGCAATGTTGTTTGCTTGAGTATTTTTGTGAGGCTGGATCTTTTATAAATACCCTGTTGGCAACAATTCTAGGGAATGTGAAAAGAAGAAAGATTGGAGAGCTGATAAAGACCTGAAATGTTTCTCAATTACTTGAAAACAAATGAAAGTAGTCTTCCTGTTCAGCTGGAGAGAAGCACTGCAGAATTAGATGAGGTGGGAAATGAGCAGGTTTTTATTGCACATTCAAGTTGTTGTTCTTTTATGGTAATTTTTTTGAGAACGGGACTATTGAGCACAGGCTATTAGTGTTTATTTTACATGTATAAACTCTTGCCAGTTTATGTGCACTTGATCAAGAAACTTTGTGTATAAGGGCTTTTCTAATGAAAACCTTCAGCTGTAATTGTGAGCTCTGTTGTGTATGGTGAAGGGTCACTAGTATGGGAATGGCTGTTATTTAATAACTACGGGGGCTTTAAGGGAGCTGTGCTTGTCATAAATACTATCAGGGTGGGTTTTGCTGCCTGCTTCTCTTCTAGCCATCCTCCTGCAGGTTTAGTCAGCACAGGTGATCAGCTCCTTGCCTGCTCCACTCCCACCTCAGCTGAGTGCATTTGTTTAAAGCTGATATAAAATAACTTAAGTGGTTTGTTACTCAAACATCCACCCTGGTAATTGAAAGGCGAAGTATCCATCCAACCCTTCAGCATTATATGCAATAAAGGTAAGTGCTAAATCTGCAAACAGAAAAGTAAGAAGTTAAGTCTATATTCTGCAGTTAGTCTAACATAAAAAGTATTTTGGTAAATATTTTGATTAGAAATGTTAGCTGGAAAATATTTTTATCCCTTTACTGTAAAGCAGAGGTGGTCAGTCTGTGCCTCTTGGACCTCCATGATCCCTGCAGGTCTGTCTGGCATGTTCATGGCATGGGACAGGCAGGGAGAGCTGGGCTTCCCAAGGGGAAAAAGGGAATTTGAGCTCACTGCTGGGGAATGATGAAGCAGAATTGTGGGAGCTGGATGGCTGCAGTGATCCTGGGACTCAGCAGCCTGTCCAGCACTGCCTGTCCTCTGTCCCAGTGGTGCAGTGGCTCCTGAGCTGAGCATCATTCCCTTCCATCTGTGGTCTGGTGAGGAGCTGTCCCCTCCCCCAGGCTGTCTGGGCTGAGTGCCTTGGGACTCCTCGGGCTGTGATGATTTTAATATGCAGCTCGCAGAGTCAGGGAGGTTGTCTGCAGGCTGGGAGATTACTCTGCCAACGTTTATGCTTTCATACATTTTATTTTGGGGGACTGAACAGAAAACATTTAACAACGTGTGGTTGCTGGGTAAACCATTGTGGTGTCACAAATGTTGGCATACTTCCTTCAGGTTATCTGTTATCCCACAGGCAGTGCTGTATATTTTACCTGGAGGAACATGGTCTGCTCTATTAGAAAATGGAGTTAAAAGGAAAAAAAAAGAATGGATGAAACTATCTGAGATCCATCCTCTGTTCTGTCATTTCTGTTGGGATGACAGAAGTTGCAGCATACCTGTTTTCAAAGCTGGTTTATTTTAATTTCTAAATCAGCCTTGTAGATTATTGCATATTTTTAAGTTGATTCTTTAATTATCCTGCCCAAATGGGCTGTTAGAATATTCTCTGTCTGTGCTCCTGTGTGTGTGTAACCTCCATTCTGCTCATACAGAAAGGAGGTTTGTGTATATTGTTAATGTGCTCCTTCTGGCTGTGGTGGATGTTACTGATGTTTAGTGGTACTTCCATAGGAAAAAAGGGAAAATGAAACTTTTTAGAGAATCTCATCAGGATTTTAAGTAGAATTCTGACAGGATGTAACACAATCAGTCTTTTTTAAAAAGAAAAGTCTTGAGTTTTTCTGGTTCGTGTCATATTATTGTAGGAACCAGCA